TATCTCTTTTGTCCTCTATCTCAAGTGTTGGAATTGTAGTTCGTTACCTCTTCTCTATTTCCGATCTTTGCAGTGTAGATAGATCTATCTCTACTAACATAAAAATTAGAATTATCTCTAGCTATTCCATTAAATACGTTGGTTATTATATAGGACACGGTGTTATGTAGTAACAAACTCGTTAAAAATAAAAGTGAGATAGATCCAAGTAAAGGCAGACTTATCATCGCTTTTATAAAGGGGAGAGATCCATCACAAAATAATTTAACAAGGGAGTAGGGAGAAAGGGGCGGGATAGGTAGCTTTAAAATTTAATTTTTATTTATAGACCGCGAACAATTCATTTACACCATCCTGAAAGCAGCTAAGTAGAACTCTCATCACTTTCCTTCTCTTCTCTCTCGTTTCTCTCTTCCTCATCTACCCCATCTGAGATACCCTTTAAAAACGTATCAATCTCTCCTACTACCTCATTTGGGAGATTCTTAAGATCCACCACCACCATGTCCTCTCCCTCATACTCAAAATTCTTCATCTCTTTCCCAATGATTAGTGCCAGTTCCGAGGTTTTAGATGGATCTAATCGTTCTATTCTCTTCTTAATTCTTAAGAGATCATTCAAATTGTAACTCTTCCTTTTAACACTTGTCCTTTTTAAATCAGTAATTGATAACCCTTCCTCTAAAACCTCTATCTCCTTATCAATAAAACCTCTCCTCCTTTTAAGTTCGTTTATTTTGTGGAGTATTTCTGTCTTGCTCATCTTGTTCTTGCTAAAGAGAGAATCAAATAGTTTTTCCAAAGCAAGTCCACAGTCATAGATCTTCTTCACATCATTGTTAAACTTAAAACAATTGCTTACCATCAATTTTAACTCTTTGTGGAAATCATCTATACTCTCAAACTGTCCTTCGCTCAGTTTAGTCTTAATGGTTGACAGATCCGTCGGATTCTTAACCACCTTCCCATATTCAGGTACCTGTTCTAAATTCACTGGTGCTAAAAATGGCCATGTTATACCCTGATGCCTTGGCTTTAAAATTTCATCCAGAATCTCACTGCATGTTTTCTGATCTTCTGCTTTCATCTTAAACTCCTTTAATTGTTTCTTGGAGGTTTTATTCTTGTCTAGAGGTGACACGAGCTCTGACTTCCTTTTGATGGTTTTCTTCGAGGTTATCTGCAGGGGAAGTTTGGAGAAGAGATCCCTAAATATCTTTTCCAACTCAACACCCATTTTATGTACGTAAGACCCTTTAGAATTGTATGTATAGCAATTATCAAACATCAGTTTCATATCCCTCTCAAAATCATCTGGCGTAGAATATTCCTCCGAATCCAGCTTCTTCTTAATTGTGGAGAGATCCATTGGATGTTCTATTTTCTCAAAATAATCCGGGATACCCAACTTTTCTGGATCCACTGGCTCTAGAAATGGTGATGCATTTGGGTTTTTCTTTAATTTAGTTAATACTTCATCACACTTTCTTAGTTGCAGCTCATTTAATTCTTCTTGCTTATTTGGATTCATTTCTTCTTCCACCATCATGGGCTAGAATATTTTAAATATTTTTTTTTAGCTTGAGTTAGGACTTCCCCAATAAAGATGCTTGATGGAAAGGGATATTATCAATGGACATTCCCTAATAACATTTTCTCTTAGAATTTCAGTAATAAAAACCATTTTGTAGGATCAGCAATGAGAAGCATCTTCTTTGGGATAGAATGTAGGAATTATAAACCGAGTGTGAAGAAGATATCTTTGGTATTCTTGAGGAGTAGATGATAAAGTACTGAAAAAGGTTGATTAAAATAATTAAGATTTTACTTTTAATTTACAAGAGAGAATGAACAGTAAACGATCAAATCTCTTTAGTTAACGTTGCGAGTTCGGATCATAAAGTTCTCCATTAACAAACACTTCATCAATTACACCATAAAATAGATTAGATAATCTACTAGAATCAACGAAGTTGAGGTTAACAAGATAAACTTCTTTTATATTCGTAACAAATCCATTTATGGATAAATCTAACACGCTAATATCTGAAGTACATTCCTCTAATATCAATACCATAATTGTTTCAGTGCTTAAAAGAGTGAGAATATCCTCCCCAGTTATGTTTTGATTTTTCAAATGACATTCATTTTCGCTAGTCCTGGTCGGCATTATTTATGCATAATCTCATTTTTTATTTTTAACACTCATAAGCTAATTTATTAAGACACAATCCTATTATGCTATTCCCTTTAAATTAATAATATTATTAGAGAATAATTAACGATGGAGAGATTTCCAAATTAAAGCAATCTTTGAGACAGGAATAATAAGGGAATATAACACAGTAGAGGGATATGAGAAAGGTATAAATTGTAAATAAAAACAATAAGCTTTACGATATAAAAGTACCCTTTGTATCCATATTTTTGTGGTATCCCAAAAAGTTGTAAAACGAGCGTTAATTAATATTTATATGGATTTGATAGATGTAAAGTGAATAAAATTGTAATAAGAAGTAATAAACTTTATTTTTCAATTATTGATGAACCTTTAATTTCTGGTGGTATTTCGATTTCCATGATGTAAAGAATGGTGGGTGCTATATCTCTGAGTGAATAATCTGTGTTAGCAGACATCTTTCCACGTCCTTTATCTTTCACCTCACTACTACAGATTATAAGTGGTACCTTACCAGTTGTATCTTTTTTGGTAAGATTACCATTTCTATCTATCATATGCCCAGAATTTACATAGAGTGCAGTTATGATCAGGGTATAATCATTGTCTTCACATGCTTTATACAAGACCCCAATAGATTCATCCACTGCTTTAATAGTTTCACAAACCTTCTCTCTACCTTCCATAATATAGCCAACCGAATCCAATGGAGGAAGGCTACAAATAAGCAGTGGTTGATCCTTTTCAATACTTCCTATACAGGCATTTACAATTTTTAAAACATTCATTTTTAGTTTGGAGTCATAAATATATTCTTTACAATCGACAATACAAAATCTTTTCTCCCATAATAACCGTTCCCTAGGTCTACCAGTGAAAAAACAGAGAAAATGCATATATATATCGAAATTAGCAAAATGGACTTGAGTAAGGCCATTCTTAGACAATGCCTCAGCAAGTCCATTTTCAATTTTTACTATCTCAAAAATTGGGATTAATCCTGGACATCCACTATAATCTGTCATTGTAAATATTTCATTTTCATCACTAAAAAACTTACCCATCAATTGTCTCATTCCGTCAGCTCTGAAATTAAAGAATACAAGTGTGTCTCGTGCCCTGACTCGGCCCTCAGATATGAAAATGTGTGGTTTAAAGAACTCGTCAGTGATACCCTTTTCATAGCTAGATTTTATGTGGTCCTCAACATAGAATCTCCCAAACATTCTCTCTCCATTAGATTTCATCGCATTGTAACTTTCGTCTATTCTTCCTTCTTCGTCTCCATCCATACTGTAATGTCTTCCAGCAATAGATGCAATCTCGCCAAAACCCACCTCACTTATGCACTCTCTCAATGCATCTATATACACTTGACATGACTTAGGCTCTACATCCACACCATCTGCTATACAGTGTATGTATAATTTTTTGCATCTATCTTTACAGCTCACAATCAGTGACTTTAGGTGGTCTATATGGGAATGAACACCACCATCACTCACCAACCCTATCAGATGAATCTTTACTTTGTGTTTCAGCTCAACCCTGTCTAGACACTCACCCATCCTCCCCTCAGCTATAACCTTGTTAATTCTGATTAGACCCTGATCAATCACTCTTCCAGCTCCTATTGTAGTATAACCTGATTCTAGATTTCCCATCTGACCTGGAGGAAGTCCCACATACTCGCCATGTGTATGGACCATAAAACTGGGAAAGGTTGTGCTGAGTGCAGTAATCCAGGGATATTGTGTGCTTTCAGTGCCATCCTCATTAAATACCCCTTCATCATGGTTCCACCCATCAAATATCACAAGACACACTTTTTTCATTGCATTGTTCTACTTTTTCGCGTTTTTATTCTAATCACAAAACACGTTTTATAAATATACATCTTGATTTAATAATGTGAATCATCGTGTTGCAGACAGAGTCACATAGTCCTTACTAGCAGAAAAGAAAGGCTTGATTCCATATATAGATAGAAAGAATGGTAAAGTGTTGTACATACAGAGATATGGGTAAGATTAAGGATAGAAACACAGTGTTTAGCAATTATAGCTTTATTTAATGAATGGTGCTACACTTCATTGCTGTAACACACTATTAACGAATATTCTCTTGGCTTTACCTTTAAACAAACGGGTTAACTCGTCAATGACATCAGATCTACATTTTCCAACGTATAGCTCGTCTAAAGTCACGTCAAACTCAGATGGATTCATAGTTAACAGATTGTCGTCTGCAGAACAATTTATAAACCACAATTTTCTTAATTTCTTACAGGATGACAAACCAATGATATCATCCTTTGTTAACTTGGAATCTAGGACACTCAGATTGCTCAACCTCTTTGCTAACGTTGTTGGCTCATCTTTAGACCCCAAGAAGAAAGGCAGTGATCTCCCATATATAGGATAGTTTACTTGTAGATTATCCAAAGAAGTTAATGGGATGTATTTTACACAATCTAAGGTTGAAATAGTAGAAAAATCTTCAAAACCTAAACTTAATGTTATCAAATTTGACAAATAATCCAACACATCCTTGTTATCTTTCAAGTCAACTCTTTCAACACTCTCCAAGTTCACAATGACTAATATTTCGAGCTTTTCTAATTTAGTGATAGCCTTTAGATCTTCCAAAGTGAGATAACTATTTGAAGACCATTTATCAAGTTTTATAACAAGAGACTTGAGAGTCTTTGTAATGTTACTACTCTCCTTAACTATCCTTGCCACTGGAAGATCAAATCCATCAATGGTAAGCTCTTCTAGTTTTTCAAAGTCTGACATAAGTGAAATATTGTCAATATACCTGAAATCTTTACATTCACAATCAATGATTTCAACACTCAATTTTTTTAGGTTTTTTTGTAACTTCTTGTTTTTCAGTATCAGATCTAACGGACATTCCATCCCCTCTGCTTGTAACTGTTCTTCATCCACTCCTTCATGAGAAGAAATCTCATAACTTACCCCCACTTCCAATTCTTCGAGTCTTCCCAAGAGACTATTGTTGTCGTTGAAAAAGGTGTTTAAAACATGAAAGTCTTTGGAATATAACTTAAGATTCGTTAGATTCTGATATGACTCAGCTAGTATTCTCAGACTCTCCTTATTCCTAACTTCAAATCCTGTTAGTTTCAATAGTTTGAAACTCTCCTGTAGCACACAATCATCATATATAAATTGATAATCTATCGCCTTAAACAAACGATGACTCCAAAGACTACTAATGTAAAGTTCATCCAGCGAAAACTCAGATAGCTTTTCAAAGCTATCTTTTTTCATGCAACCAATTGTAATATCCAATACTTTCAAGTTTTGTTTCAACACGCCACTTTCCAGTATTACATCTATATCAGATGATGTAGCAAATTTAAGTTTAACTAACTTACATCTGGATATGTATTCCAAGTCTTCACCTGATAGTTCACTCTTCTTTACTTCAAGCGATGTTAGATACCCCACTTCGTAGAACAGTCTAAATATCCTCCAAAACCTACGTCCTGACCCTCTGAGATGAGCCAAGACGTGTGGTTCGATTATCAGTTTGTTACCACTCCCTTCGACTTCTAACATACTTTGCACATTTCCCACATCCATGGCCTCCATAATTTTTTCAAATAGCACTCTCGGTGGACATTTTGATGTAAAACAGTATTCCATTATCTTATCGGGTATATCAACGTTTTCATCTATATTTTCTAGTGCATTTATCAGTGAAGTTGATGAAGCTTTGGATAAAATCATGGGGTTGCATTTCTCGCCACTTCCATCTACTAGCTGTAACACAACTGTTAATATACACAACACATTGCAGATCATTTCTCTTTTCATTATCTCTTTCTTTTTATAATTAATTAAAGGGGAACGTTACAAATTAAATTTTAATTAAAAGGGTGAGTGTACCAAACAACCATTGGTTCACCTAAAGGGTTATAACTATTGTGTGAAAGAGTTAGCAATTCTCAGTATCAAAGCAACCCAAACGGATAGGATATCCAAGAATTGCATGATCATTGAGAGATCATGAGTTGGAGTGTTACATGCCAGCTTTGGGTTTTGCATTCTTTTTGCTTTTGACAAAGAATAGAGAACAACGCAGATATACAGAAACCACACACCTTCAACCCACAGAAAAGAATTGATAAAGACAAAGGTTATGGATAACAACCATTTTAATTATCTCAGTCCAAAATACAGTTAAATCCTTGTCATATAGTATTGAGGAACTGGAAAATTCCTTTTTGAAAGAGTATAAAGACCAGACCCCCATTTAAAACAGCGAAAAACTGCTATTATACCATTTATCTCACTCTTACCCAACTTTCTCGCTCGACACACTCTCAAAAAACGCTT